GCGGGGAGACTTTCCCCGGGGACTGTCGGGGAAGGGAGCCTTCGCGCCGCATGCTGCCAGCGGCCAAGCCCGTGGGGATTCCTGATTTATTGGGCACCCCGTCTGCCACCGTCCCAGCAGATAGCTCTGCGCAAACCGCCTTCCCTGCCTGCGCCTCTGCAGCTTGGGAAGGGGAAAAGCCAACTCGCTGCTGGCCGAGCCCCTGCCCCAGCCATCTGTCTGCAGTGCAGATATGGGCTGTGCTTGGGCGTGGGCCTGAGTCTTGGTGTAGCCATCTCCTACGTCCTGTAAAATTTTCTGATTGTTGAAGTATCTAGTGCTACGGAAGACTCGCTGTCTGTGGGTCGGTGAGTGTGGGTTCCAAACTGTGTTAGGATTTTGCTCTCGGGATCTCTGGCAAAACCTGCACGTGCTCACCAGACGCCGATCTTCTGCTTTCTTCTCTAGGCTTTCCAGAGTCGGCTTTCTGAGCAGGTGCTGGACGCGGGGGTTCTGTCTCCTGTTTCGGCTGGCCCCACGTGCGAGGTGAGCGCTATAGACGCGAGCAGGGACCGATTCGTGAATAGGCAGGGCGCAACACTGTAATGGGGTGCGCTAACGGCAGGACGATGCCGTCGGCACAAAGGCTTTGCAGGGGCAAACAGGATTGACGTGTTAAGTGTCTGGGATTAGAGCGGGGCTGCTCGTGTGTTCCTCCTGCGGAGGGGAGAAGCACGAAGAATGTCCTCTTCGAGTAGAAGTGGCTTGAGGGGTGCACGCATGCGAGCTCACGCGTGTGCCTTCCCTGCCCGATACAAGTGTAGATAAAGCGTAGCTTTCCTGGGGAATGGTGTGAAGCAGAGTCTATTTTTCTTTTGTGAGTATATACTTGTCCTTTTCTTTCTCTTAAGCAGATGGAAAGGATTCGCGTAACGAAACGATAGTACAAGTGGGAAGAGAAGGAGGTTAACTCCCTCTGACAGATTTTGGTTTAGGGAAGCTTATTTTTAAGCATCTGGCTGTCTTGCCTGCTTTTGTGTCGGGCTGGGGGGGAAGTAGGCTCCTTCCAGTGAGTCTGGCATGTGAAGGAGCACATGTATGCATGCACACGCCTGTGCTTCCTCTATCACGTCAGCCCGGGATGTAGCGATGATCGGGCAGCTCTGATTGCAGAGGATTGCTGTGCATCCGGAGGTTTTAGCCTTGTCTTTTCGGCGTGTTACTGAGTTGGCTTCCTCAGCCCCACGTTCCTACCGAGCCCTCTCCCGCATCGTCCCGGCTTGTCGGCGCATTGGCTGTGAGAGCGTGGCGCGCGGCGAGGCGGAGGGTCAGGCTCCAGCTGGGGTTTACTCAGCCTTGCTCTGATTGTAAGTGAGTTGATCAGCTGCGCTGGAGGAGACCTTGAGTGGCGAACTCACCACCTGTCCAGCAGAGAGGAGCAAGCCAGTTTGTAAGGTTGTGTCTGGAGAATCCACCTGTCCTCTTGTGCCTCATAATGAGCATAATCAGATGTGAAGGGAAAACAAAACATACGCCTGCTGCGTTCTCCCCCTCTGCCTCTTGCCGCAGCCGTCGCTGTGCATACAAATGCCTTGCTGGAGGAGCCGCGTTCCGAGTTGATTACAGCCCGGTTTTGAGGAGAGAGGTGGATTTGAAATGGTGCCCCTGCAGAACTGCAGCTCCTCTTCCATGCCGGTAGACAGAGGCTAGTCTGAAGTCAGACTCTGGCTCGTAGGAGCGTGTTTACTGCCACGTAGTGAGCTTGCCTCGCTTCGAACATACTGGTAAAATATGCTCTTTCTAAAAAAAGACCGCCTCTGTCAGCTGCACGAGCACAGCAGCGGAGGCTTTTGGTTGGTGTGTGTTGGCAGAGGCTGTGCGGGCATCTTCCTGCGAGACCTGGCGCTCCCCTGGCAGCGGGGAGGCTGCTCCTTTCGCCTTTCTCTTCACAGGCACTCGAAGTGCTGGCATCCCGCTCCGCTGGCGCTGCTGCGCGGAGGGTGACGCCGGTGGGGGGCTGGAAGCAGGCACGCGATCTAAGCTGATGCGTGCCGGAGACCATGGAGATCCTCCTGCTGAGCTCCCTTGGGAACTGTGCTGTGCAGGGGGAGGAGACAGCCTATTCTGTCATCCTGCTTTCCCGTGGCCACAAGACTGGCTTTGTACTGTGAGCGTGTGAGGTATTCCGCTGTGGGATGCAGCCGGCATTGAAGCAGGAGAGAACGCCGCTTGCAGTGCGGGGACTGCTGGGCATCCTGAGGCAACGGGAGGGGCTGAGGCTCCACGGTGACTTCACAGGCAAGGCTTGAAATCAGCCCTCGTTCCCTGCAGGGCGGTGCTGTCTTCACATCAGATGTGTCCTGAGGTTCCTGCAGCCCATGACTCCCGGGGAGGGACTGCCCTCCCGGGAAGGCGTGCGGGGTAGGAGCGTGGCCCCGGCCCCCCGCGGGGGCTCAGCAGCATTACCCTGTGACTGGTTATCCATGTTCCCAGGAAGACCTCCTTCTCCATCTGTCTGGAGTCTTTCCTTCCGCAGGCAGCAGTGACAGAGCCCCTTTTGAGCCGGAAAAACGTTTGCTGAGCTCCTTGGTTCTCGGGAATTGAAGCCATTATTTACAGTGGGGCAGGAGGGAGGCTGAGGGGGAGCTGCCTGGGAGGGCTCTGACCAGGCTGACGTGATGGAAGGTGACAGCACTTGCAGGGAATCCTGCTGCTGCTTGCTCCACTGCACATTTGCATGAATTACTGCTGGTTTAATTCTGTTTTATTTTGGCCCTGCTCCACAGTCTGCTCTGGCAGGGCCCGGGCTGAGCTCACCTGCTGTTTCCGTGGTCCCCGAGAACTTAGGAATGGGCTGTTCTTCCGGGGACCAGAAGCCCTAGCAGGGAGGATGAGCCCTGGCTGCTTTCTCGTGTCGGGCTGACGGCTTGAGGAGGGAAGTTCTTCCCCTCCCCAGGTGAACCGCGCAGCCGCACGCTTGCGTGCGCGCCTACTGCGGGCACAGAGGGGCTCGGTAGCTGGCAGGTGGGAAAAGGAGCAGCTGACTATTTTACGCTCCGATATTTGCTATTCATATTTCAAGTAGTTACTAGGGCATAAATAAGCCAGCTGAAGTTGCTCGGTGCGTTGCCAAGGGGGCTGGCTTTCTTAGCAGCAGCCGCACGGGCGTGTGCTGGAGCGAGCAGCCGGCAGTCCCTGGGTAGGTGCGACTGCGTGTACGCCGCCCGTCACGCCCTGCCCGAGAACCAGGACGCGAGGCGGGACCGAGTCCCGTCGTGATTCCCGTCACACCCAATATGTCTATCGATTCGCTTTGCGGCCACAGCGCGCGCGCCCTTTCGCTTTTGTGTGCGACACTCCCGTTTGCTTTTAGGATGACTTTTTTTGTCCTACGCTTTTTAGGGAGTTTAGTGTTACTTGGACATCTGAGATGATCTTCGGGGGGTAGAAAAAACCAACCTGTGTCCAAAGTGCTGAGTGCTGGCAGGGTAGTTGACCTTCTGCAGTGAAAAAGCAATCCCGAGACCACAACCTGGAGAGCTGAGCTCCCAGGTGCCTCGGTTGTGCCACTGGGGACCGTTCCTGGGATGTTTGGAGACCCTTGGTTACCTGCGGGAGAGGAGGCTGGCACGTTCAGCTGGGCGCTCTGGAGCAGCCGGTGGCTGCTGTTTGGTCCTCGGTGCCGATGTGCCGGACCAGAGCGGCGCTGCCCTTCGGAGCCGCTCTGAGGTCCTGCGAGGCTTTGATGGTGAAGGAGCCGGCAAACTCCTCGCTGTTTGCTTTTACCTGCAGGCCCAGGAGCTGGGAGAAGAGGAAAAAGACCAAAGCAAAGCCAGTATAGAGGAAGAGCAAAGCAAAAGAACAAAAGCTGCCGAGAGGTATGGTACAAACAGGGCAAGAAAGGAGGTGTAGACAGCTCTAGCTCCCTGTGACTTTCCTGTCTTGTCCACCCCTGCTCTGCTCTGGTCACTGTAACGCCACTGTACAGGTGTCCCTTGTAGAACACCCTGAGATGCCAGAGCTTCTCCCAGGCCTTTTCCACTCAACCTCTTGCTTCTCCTGCTGCTTCCTTAGTACTGTCTCAGCAGATTTCAGCTTTGTTTGAGTTTCTGGCTGGGTAGGCAGCAAAACCGCCTGCCTTTCACTTCCTTGTGACTGCCCCAGATGTGGAGCTGGCTTCCGTTTCCCTTACAGCTATCTGACTTTTCTCACTCTAAAAGCCACGCTCTTGCTGAGACGGTCTGAACCCGTTAACGTTGCGTGGTGCGCCCTGTGGCGTTTAACCGTGGAAGAGTCGGCCACCGGCCGTTGCCCGATGACAGACCTTTCTGGTTCCGGGGCAGCGCCGGCCCTGCTGGGCTGCCAGCTCTGCACTGGGCAGAGCCTGTAGCTGGAGGCTCCTCGGGCCAGCCTGGTGCCTGTTACTGGGAGCAGGAGAGTCCAGCTGCGGGGTGAACAGTTCTCTTCCGCTTCCTTCCGTAGAGGTGGCCTACAGCAAGTCACTGGCTGCCCAGGGGTGAGCTTTAAGCTATTTCATGTCCTCGTACATGGATAACCCGCTTGAGTGCGCCAGCTGTTACCCCCAGAGCCGTGCTGCTTTCCAGACCCGTAGTCACTGCGAGGCGTAGACGGTCCAGGGGAGCTGTTTTCAGCCTGTTTGTGGAGACTTGTTTAAAGCAGTTGAAATACTGTGCTGAGCAGAGGGCTCTGTGCTCTCTCGAGCCCCTCCCCTCACTCTCAGAGCTGCAGCATGTGGCATTTATAGACGAGTCGTGTCAAAACTCTTAGCCTCTGCACAGAGTTACATATACTCTGGGGCACTGGGAACCAAGAAGCTGTTGCCTGTGCCAGGAAGACTTGTGAACAGAAGAAGCTGCAGTCCATCTTAATGACTGGCTGCATGCACTTGGGTCTTGCAGCTTTGTTCTTAGAGGAGCTGCTCACGTGAACGTCCCTGAAAATGTGTTCTGCCTGCAGGAATTGTCTCCTTATCGCTTGGTACCTGCTTCCCAGCTGTACATCCTCTCTTCCTCTCTGCCTGTAAAGCTAGCTTGTGCTTGCCTCTTCTCTCTGTACTGCTAAGATGAAGTAGGACTGTAGATGTAAACATGCCAACGTTTCCATCTATAACGTGGGCAACAGTGAGAGTGTTGCTAATAGGGCTGACTTATCCCGGGGAAATTCTCAAAGGACTTGGGAGGGGGGGGGAAATAATCCAGGGAAGGGATTCGGCATTTTGAGACTGCCACCTCAGCTGCCTGTTAACCTGGCAAGGCTCGAGGCGGTGTGCATGGTTTGGAGCTGTGCTGTGCCTTCGGTAGCCCCGTGTTGGACGAACGGGGCCCGTCAGCAGGCATGGCTCGGGGCCCGTCTAGGTCAGCTGCGCATCCCGCCTTCCCTCGGTCTCATCCGCCTGCAGCAGCTGCTAGAATCTGCTCCGTGCTGATCTGGTCTTCTGTTACCTTTTTCGTGCTGCAAAGCGAGGGGGATCAAAGCGCTCGTGAAACGCCAGGCGAGAAGCGTTTTGCTTTAGAGAATCCCAAGCCGGAGGAGGCCGTGGCCCAGGAGCTGGAGGAGGGATCGCCGGATAGCCTAATCGATCCGGAGGAGCTCGCTGCCCCGCAGAAAGCGTAAGGGCTTCGCTTAAGTCCCCGGTGGCGTGAGCATAACAGCTTTTGTCCTTTTGTTCCCCTTTGTGGCATTGGAAGTTGGCGTGTGAAGTCAGCACGCGAGGAGACGCTGTTTGGTGGGCACAGCAGGGCTGGAACATCCCCGAGCAGCTGTTTCGCGGGCGAGAGTGCCAAGTGAACAGTCGGTACTGGGGAGGGCGAGGACGGCGGCTCAGCCCTTGGGCTCAGTGGCACAGGACTCCACGGGGCGGAGAAAGAGCCGTTTGCTTTGTGCTTGGAAAAGCCTCTTTCTTATCGGTGTCGCTAAGGAGGCTGTAAGCGTTCGCCCTCCTTCGATAAACGCTTTCACGCAGGCTCCTGAGCTCACTTGCCGAGCGGTGCTGAGATCAGGGGGGAAAAACAAAAACCTGACAAATCACCCCGCTTTTACAGTCCCCGGGAGCGCTGGTTGCTGTGAGATGGGGTCAGGGCGCAGGACGGTAGAGCTCGGGTTCCCCGCAGAAGGCGGCAGTCTGTCGGCGTGCTACGTCGATGGCCTTTGCAGATACGTACCCGCGGTGCCGCTGCGGGAGAAGATCTCGGCGGAAGCGATCGCGCTGGCTTGCTTCCTCCGGCAAAAGGCAGACCCGCACAACTGGAAAAAACAGGCAGCGCGTCTCGGGGCCAAGTGGCGGAGCAGCAGCCTTTGATGTGGGGACCGGCACAGGGTCTCCCTCTTTCTTGGGAATTGTGTCGAGGAGTGGGGGGGGGGTGTGTTGGCTGGATCTCTTTTTAAGCAAGAAACTGGGGCAAAAGGAAGAAAGTGATAAAAAGGTGGAAGTGGCCGAAATGCTTTGCAGAGCAGCTGATAAATGACGCCGTCTGTAGGCATCTCTACACGCTCTGGGCCGCTGCAGTGTTACAGGGGAGCACTAGTGAAGCGGGGTTTTTCCAGAACCCAGCTACTCTTTCTGCTGTCTTGTTAATGACCGCATAAGCGACCTTTTCTCTTTTGACCCAAGGCTGTATTACTGGGGCTGTTATTTCCCTGATTCCTGGCGAAACAGAAGTCCCTCTGCCTTACGCTAACAGTCTTGGAGCACGAGGAGACCTTGCTGCTCTAGCTTTCATGAGGGCAGAATAAAATTTTTTTTCCTGGAGTCATCTTGGCTTTCCCCTCCTTCCCCTTCAGTCGCTCTCAGACCTGATAATTTTGCTGCACTCTGTCTGACAAAGCTTAATCAGGAACAGATTGGGTTTGGGTTTTTGGAGCGCTTGGAGCTTTCCGTTGCCTGGAGCTGGCAAACTCCCAGCACGCTTCAGATCACAATTGCAGAAAGATACCTGGTCCGTCAGAATCCCTGGGCTGAAAACGGGTACTGACGGCATCTGCTGCTGTGCCTGGCAGCCCTAGCCAGGTTTTCATAGCTACCAGATCCTTCGTGAAGCGAGACCGTGTTGCCCTCGCAAGGTGAGCTCTAGTTGGCCAAAATAGGAATTATCTGGGCCCCGAGTGCTCTTGGGGCTGGGGTTAACAATTTATTGGTCAGAGTTTCTCTGGGAGTCAGAGTGGTCCCACCAGCGGTGCGTGGGGCGTCCCCAAGCTGCTACCTGAGATACCACGGCACTCAAAACCTTGAGCGTGTGCTGTGTGTTCCCCAACAGCCTTGTTAAAAAAAAAAAAAGGCTTTCCTGTAGCAAGCTTGTGCCCTCCACCCACCTACACGGCCGTTCCTCGCCGCCTGCGAGCTAACCAGCCAGGGCTGCGCAGCAGCCCGCACGCGGCCGCGGTCTGGGGCGGGTCCTGCGGGTCCTTCCCCTTCGACAGTGAACCTTCTAGAGTAGGTGGCTCTGAGACTCTTGGTTTGCAGTTGATACGGTTTGGGGGATGTCGCTGTTTCTTTCACCTTACTCGGTTTTCTGTCGCCCTTTTGCCAAAGGAGCTTTCTCTTTTGGTAGGCGACCGGAGAAGGAAATGGAACACGAGCGGTCCTTGAACCAGCCTAGCGAAGAATCCCTGGAGGGAATGGCCGAGGAGCTGGAGACAGAGCTTGAGCGAGAGAAAATCCATTTATTGCAAGCGAAGGAGGAGAAAATTCAGCAATTCCAGGAAGAGATGAGGCAGCAGGAGGAGGAAGAAGCTGAGAAGCTCCATCAGCAAAAAGAAAAATCCCTCAGGTACTTTCCTTTTTCACTCCATCTCCCCTCTATTTCTCCTCCGAGCCTTTCCTAGCTGTGATTTCAGGGCCGGTGGCCACAGGCTTGTGCTGTTACAGGCCACCACCTTGGAAGTGGTGCTGCTTGGCAGAGCTGTGGGCAAAGGAGGTAAGAACCAGGCTTCTGGGGAAGAGGAGCGCGAGACTCTGCCTGGCACGGAGCAGCCTGTGCGTGAGGATCCGCACGTCGCGAAATGAGTAGCGGTCTGCTGTGGGTGCTGCGTGCAGAGAGCACAGTGCCTCAGGAAAGCGCTCTCCGCTACAGAGGAGAGAGCATCTTCCCATCTCTTGCAAGACGAGCTCCGATTCGGTACACGTGCAGCTTTCAGAGCTCTGAACCCGTCTCTTATGGTTAACCTGGGAAAAGTTTCCAGTTCAGCGCTTGGAGCGTTACCGCCTGGCAGACGTTCAAATCCTGGGCTAAATGGTGGTAACAGGACTGGAAATTGGAGCGTTAGAGGAGATGAGGTTACCCCAGAGGAACTATCTGAAACTCTGGAGCTGTATGTTTTATAGAGGGACTTCCAAACGAGACTTTAAGGAATAGAGCATGGATGTCGGTGTGAAACCCAGCCAGTGCATGAGGCTCTGATGGCAATCCGGGCAGCGGAACAGCCCTGGGAGCTGTGTCCTCACCCTGGGGGACTTTTGTCTCGGGGCTCCTATTTTATTTTGGGTGGCTTTGATACTTACATTCTCAGCACGCTGAGCCAGCCAGAAACGGTATCCTGACGTGGGATGTCATGAGAATGCTGTCTTGGGTGCGAAGGAAGACGGGAGTTGGACCTGAAGGGAAAAATGCCTATGCAGTAATAAAGCAGTAGTAAAAAGGGTGTCGTATGGAAATACAGAGCTTACGGATGCACTAATGCATCCAGGTACCTTGGCTGGGAGCCTGCTTCCGTTTACTAGGAGTTGATTTCATTTACCCAGGGGGGAAAAAAAAAAAAACCAGAAACAACCAAGTGCCACCTATGCTAACACTTTAAAATGCACCGCAGAAGTTGGATGCTCGGGGGCTGCGTCTCCCGTGCCAGCAGCCAGGTTCTGAAGGTATGGAGGAGAATTAATGGTCTGGAGCCCTGAGAACGCGTTGCTCGGGCAGGCATGGCTAGTGGGAGCAGCAGCTGATCTATAGGCCTTGGGGAGGCGATTTGAAGATATTAAAGCCTCCTGAACCTTTTTTCTTTTTTTTTTTTTTTCTGGCTGCTAATCTCTCAGGACTCTGAAAGAAGATTTGGCAAAGGTTTCTGAGGAGGAAGAGTTGCGTGTCAGAAAGGAAGAAACGGAGAGGCTCTCAAAGCTGCGAGCCAAGATCACCTCGGAGACCAAGGCAGAGGAGGAGAAGATAAGGTGAAAAGTGTCGCTGCCGCCCCTGGGGACGTAAACTCTGCTGGTTTGGGAGGGAGGCATCTCGCATGCCGCCAGCAAGCGCTCGGAGGGGGTGCTAGCCCTCCCGAGCCTCCCCTAGCTGGTGCCCTGCCCTGGGAGCAAGGACGAGGCCCTAACGACGATGCTGTACGTGCGGGGGAGCTGTGTCGATAGAAGGCAAAAGTGATGGACCGTCACGGTACGAGCTCCGCTGCCTTGGAGCCGATGAGCTTTTGCTAAAGAGGCACGTAGTACGTAAGTGTCCCGAAGAGCGATGTTGCTGTAACGTGGGACCAGGCACGGCTCTGGGGCACGTAAATGAAGGAAACGGTGTCTACAAGGATAGCTGCTCGGTTTGGGTGGATGTCCCTGTCAAATGGCTCTTCGGGCCGGTGGAAACAACTGGGCAGGCAGAGAAGGCAGACCCTGGAAAACTTAGATTGTGTTATTTCTCTTTTGTGTATTTGACCGGTCTCCAGCTGACTGCTTTGCTGCTCATTTCCAAGGCCCTAGTTGATACGCTTGTGAATCTGTGCGCTGTGGTTCTCGGCTCTGGTTCCTAAATGGAGTTTGGTGGTAAAGTACTGACTTAGGACTTGCTTCTGTCTGTGTTCTTGTCGCAAACCTACCAGGGCAGAGCAAGAGGTCACACTGCAGAAACTAAGAGAAGAGTGGGAATCCCAGCAGGCAATGGAGAAGGAGAGCCTGGAGAGGAAGCAGCAGCTTGTTTTGGAGAAAATGAAGCTGGAAATGGAGGAAGCTCGTCAGAAAGAGAGGACTGAGCTGGAACAAGAGAAGGAACAATTCCTGAGTGAGCTCAAGGACAGATTAGATAGGGAGAAGAAGGAGGTGAGATCTTTATTGCCAGCTCGGATATCCTGGTTTCGTCTGGGAGACAGTTAATTTTCTTCATAGCAGCTAGTATGGGGCTACGTTTCGGATTTGGGATGAAATCCGTGTTGATAATTCAGGGATGGTTTCAGTTGTTGCGAGGCCGTCAAAGACGGTCCGGCTTCTTGCGCTGGCTGACCGGCGAGCAGGCTGGGGGTGCACGGGGGGCTGGGAGGGGGCACAGCCGGGACAGCCGAGCCCGGCTGGCCAAGGGGGTATTCCACAGCATACGGCGTCACGCCGAGTGTATAAACCGGGGGAAGGAGGAGGAAGCAGGGGGAGTGTTCGGAGTGGTGACGTTTGTCTGCCCAAGTAAGCGTTACGCGTGACGGAGTCCCGCTTCCCTGGAGATGGCTGAACACCCGAATGGATGTGAGCTGATGGAAATGTCTCCTGGCCAAGCAAATACAGTCAAAGTGCACTTGGGGATTTGAGCATCAAGAGTTATACAGTTTGCAAACGGCAGTAATCCCTAACTGGGGAAAAACTTATGTAATATGAAGTCTTCACTATTCAGAACTGTGCTGGTTTTGGCTGGGATAGAGTTAATTTTCTTCATAGTAGCTAGTATGTGGTTATGTTTTGGATTTGTGCCTGGCTAGCTCAGTCAGTAGAGCATGAGACTCTTAATCTCAGGGTTGTGCGTTCAAGTTGGGCACCTCAAAAGGACCGTTGCGGTTTAACCCGTTGGGATGGGGCGGGGGGGTTAGAAGGGTGAAAGTGTGAAAACTCGTGGTTTAAGATAAAGGCAGTTTAATAGGGAAAGCAAAAGCCAGGCACGCAAGCAAAACAAGGAATTCGTTCCCCACTTCCCATCCGCAGGCGGGCGCTCGGCCATCTCCTGGG